GGCATTGATCAAGCAAAATTGAAAAAAAATTGCTTTTGTTTGTGGCCATCATATTACAACACGTTTTGTCAAATGCATAAATAAAAACAGCATAAGTCTCTTAATTTAGGTAATATAGGACTTTTGTAGAATTTCTAATGTACTCAGCACTTGATGACACCAGGAAGGAAAACTGCTGTCTCAAGAGGGCACACAACATCCTTGCACACACCCACGACACCGGGTGTTTAAGCTGCTGCCGTCTGGCAGGAGATTCAGACATCTGAGGTCCCGAACAAACAGACTCAAGGACAGCTTTTACAACAGGGCAACAGCCCTAATCAATGCTAACAGCTGACCTGATTGGCTACCTCCCTGGGCTTTTTTTCTTTTCTTTAAATTTTTATTTAATGATAACAATGTGCAATAAACATACTCATTCTTTTTATCTATTGAGTTACTGTGTTGTGTTGTGCGTAGTGCTGATGCAGGACAGTTTCTAATTTTGTTGTACTATTGTACTAGGTATGACTGTGCAATGACAATAAAGTTATTTTATTTTGTCTACCAATGAGCACCAAAATACACTCTTGTGAGGATAACTCTGAAGTTATCCTCAGAGGGTATGTTTGTTTATTTTGGGCAAGATAATCTAATGATGATGTAGGAAGGTTACCCTATGATTTCTGCATCTATCAGTGATTTATGTATTCAATGATCATGTCAGGCTCAGGTCACGTCTCTCTAGAAATGTGTCTTGTTTTGACTTTCCTGCTGTTTTTATCTGCAACTCAGAGATACTTCTGTAGCATGATGCTGTCTTTTAATTCAATGAGAAAGGGTGTTATTAAAAAGGAATGACTCTGGATACCTTTTCAATCCACTGCAAATGTAGTTCTGCAGCAACAAAGGCAGAAAAGTGCGATCAGTCAATAACATGATCAATATAAGGTTAAAATTCCTAAAACTGTCAGTTATGCAAATGTCTGAGAAAGGAAATGCACTTACTGAGTCTTCAAAGAGAGACTTTGCAACCCATTGCATGCACAATATCTTTCAAGTTGTGGTCAAAGTTGTGCATAAAAAAATGTATTTTACTGTGGAACCCACTGAATGCCTGTTGGTGACATACCACTTAAATTCAGGTAAAGCTATCCATTTAAAATACAGGTGCTGGTCATAAAATTAGAATATCATCAAAAAGTTAATTTATTTCACCAATTCCATTCAAAAAGTGAAAGTTGTATAA